AAATGAATCTTAGAGACCTTTTTTTTTAGCAGTTGTCTAAAATGTAGCATTGTACATGTTGAGGAGGATGCCAGAGAAAATAGAAATTATGATTACTACTCTTCCCAGTGAAAATGGGCAAATGGACTGTTAACCCATTTAATCGTATGATTAAAGCATAAATGTCTATTAGCATTTTGTATTCACATACGAGACTAGTGTCTGTCAGCATGCACTGAATCAGGTAGGAGACTATACATCTGCAGTGAGGGAGTGGGGCTTTTGGTTGTGGTTTTGCTTTTAGTCTTATGTTTAATCCTTTTTCAACTTTGAAAACAAGGCTGACATCCTTTTTGTAATGTCTGGTATTTTAAAATGTCACCCATCCCCTTGCCCTTTTGATGAATTTGTGCATTCTATGAATACAGAGGAAAACAAAATTGCTTCAGATAGTGAATTTAAATAAAAACCCCTGTGGTTATCGATTACAGCAAATACCCTCTGTGTTTTTCGTAGAAATCACTTGAAGGTTCAAGTATTTAATCATGTCATAGGATTTTAAGAGACCTTAATGGCTAGATTCAGCTTGCATGGTGTAGGTGCCAGCATGATCTGTGGGCAGAACCAGGATCTCTAAGGAGTTCATCAGAGCATTCAGGTGAGGCATCTGCCTCTGCATTGGCAATGCGGAGAGTTTTGGGGTGTCTCTGTGGATGCATATACTGCTGGCAATGCAGGGACCTGGCCAGTCTGCACATCGGACTGTTACCCTCCTTTAAGACTGGGATGGATGCTGGGAGGAGTGGGACTCAGGGTGTCTCTGATATGTATGGCCAGCTGGGATTGAATACTGGATAAATCAGCTGTCTTTTGATGGTAAATGGTCAGGAAAGGTTTTATTGAACTGGATTTGATTCTAATCCTCATTGTTTATCATGGCAGTTACAGACAAGGGGCAAAGGCTTTTACCGTTTAGCTGGTGGTTTGGATTTTGTTTGGGTTTCTTTTTCCATGTAGGTGCCCAAGGTATACAGCTGGTGCAGGCAGAGTGTCACTGCTGTAAGAGCTGCTTACAGAGAAACAACCAACCGACCTAAACAACCCAAGATGCAGAGGTTGTCCGTGACTGACTTGCAACACTTGACCATTTATGCAAGGGAAGAGAAACCCCTGTGTGCCTCTGCCATTGTTGTGTACGTTGAGCTTGCCTGTGTCAGGGTTGGGTTTACCTGCCTTCCATTTTGTGTCTCCTGGCTCTGGTTCTGTAAGCAAACTGTACAGTGTGAACTGTAATTCGAATAAGATGCCCTTGGAAAATCTGCCAGATTACAGAAAATTGTGTCATGATTGACAGAGAGGTTTTGTTATATTTGGAAAGTGTATTTATATGTAAAATAAAACGAGAGGCAGAAGCCAGGTAATTTTCTTTGCTTGGGAAAGCTAAGCAAGTGTTTGTTTCAGTTCTCCTAGTAGGGAAGATGACACTAGAAAATAGCTGAATTCTGTATCTGTTAAGTTCTAATGAAAACCCTAACTGTTCTGTTACACAAACATGCTGCTCCTCCTTACTGCCTGAGAGGGACTGTTATCATCCTGTTTTGTGACCAAAGGTATATTATTGAAAGAACAAATGTTGGCTTTCCCTCCTTCCTCCCTCCCCATTATGCTTTTAAACCTATTACTGAACTTTGGAGTTCATCATATTAAAGTTCATGTGCAGTTAGCAAAATGACACTTTTTCTGTATAGAAGCCGGATGTTAAATTACGAAACTATGTAGCAGCAAATTATGTAGTACCTTTCTACGAATCACTGACAACGGTATGCATTTCTGAGGGAACAGTAATGTGTTAAACCAAGCTTTGTTTGTTCCTCTTGTGGCATCACAGGCAGAGAAAATGAGATAACGCTACATAGTTGATCTTTTTCCAGTGCTTTTGTAGAGGCTGAAATGTATTATCTTTGGTGTATCACTGCCTTTTGGTAAAATGAGGTGAGAAAATAGTTTTCTGTTTTCTGTCATAAGCCAACCAAAGCCCAGCATGTTTTCAGGGTCCAATTTTGAATTTTTGTTCACATTACAAATCGATGTGACACAGTAACTATTGAGGCTTTCTGGCATGTACAAAACATTTGTTCAGCTTGAAAATAAGTGGGGAAAAAGAGCCAGTGGTGACATGTCCAGATGGGAGCATGTTGGAGTGCTGTGAAGCAGAACACCTGGTATTGAGGGATGGGGCAATACAGTCAGTTGCTGTGCATCTGGATGCAGGGCATCTGTGTGAGTGGACATTGCGGCTTTGTTGAGGACCACTGCTTCTGAGATGTGGATTCTTTAAAGCTGATGCTTTGTGAAATGTGATGCTTTGATGTTAGATATAAAAAAAAAATTAATTGCAGACTCTTTACAAGGAATTAATTTGATATTTTTGGAAATGATGATCTTCTAGTCAACAAAGTTTGTAAATTCATAACTGGTCTTTCACTGGACTTCAGTTGTTTCCAGATACCATAGCTCGTGCCTGCACAGGCTGCTCCATCTTTATCAGTGGGGGGGACTTTTCTGCTGTTGTGGAGCCTGCAGTGGTAGGACATTGCATGGAGGGGTTCTTAGGGTTTGTACATTTGGTCAGGTCTCTTGGTAAGACGTGGGGAGTTTCACATTGCTTGCTTTCAGTATTGTTACTGAATTACACACTGCAAATGTTGTTGTTCTGTATAATGAGAGTTTCTTATTTTGGAGTCCAGAATCAATAATGGCTGGGTTTTTCTGTGCAGAAATTTGAAGGTAGAATGAGGTGGAGTAGTTGATGTGTAATGTGTTGGTGTGTTACTGATATGCTAATAGCTTCAGCATCTGCCTTGATAAGAAATTCTGCAAATCACAAAGTTGAAGACTTTTTAACCCATTATGATTTTTTACCTTGTTGTTACTGTTTGATTATTTAGTTATCAGGAAAAAACTGCATTTAGTTCCTTCTAAACCCTGGACCAGCTCTGCCATAAAGTAATACCACTGAGGTGTTGGATTACTACAGGGATTAGCTGTAGTGTCACTACTCCTGAATACACATTTAACCTAAAAAGGGGAGAAGTGATGTGGGGAGGTCAGGATTATGAAACTGTTTCTATTTTTCATATAAGGTAACTTTAACACAATGTTCTACCACAATAGATCTGTCTGTTAGAAATGAGGAATCATTTTGGTTCAGAATCTGCATCAATAAAAATTTACATTTGTTTGTGCTGGTTTATCTATTTTCTTTAAATAGCCATAAATTAAGCTTTGCAGCAAGACTGGTAAGATCCTCCTGACTTTAGTGAGGCTGGGTGTTGTCCATAAACAATGTAGTATATTTATGTTAGTAAATGTCATTTTGAGATGTATCAGATATGCATGAATAACATTCTCCCTTCTTACCCACTTCTCTAGAATTACTAGACAGACAGCTGAAGTCATGGCTTTAGTAACTTTACTTATAATTGGATTAACAATTCAGTATGCAATAATGAGGCTTCTTTTAGCTGAAAATTGGAGATAAAAATAATCTCGTATCTCACTGCTATAATCATGTGCTTTTGAACACTCATGATACATAATCCTTTAAGAAAAAGTGTTGCCATGTAACAGTCATCACTGTTATTCAGAGTATAGGGGTTTTTTTTTAGTTCAGTTTCTTACATTATATTCAGAGTTGTGCTTGAAACTTTAAGGGTGCTTTAAAGGATGGCTTTTGAAAATAAGACAGAAGCCTATATTTTTTCCAATAAATTAACTTTTGAAGTTAATGTCGCAATTGTGAAGTTTAAGTTTCTCTTTAGAAAAATGAAAATTTAGGCTGCCTTCCAACCCAGTGTTTAAAAATGTGATTAGCTTTTGAATGACTGACTAGGTTCACTGACTTCGGTGAGTACATGCACCAAGAGGCTTTTGTTAGACTCACTCAGTACAACTTCTTTGAGAGTTGCTGCTGTGCTGTGCTGGTGCTGGGCAGAGGGAGCCAGGGAGCGCACAGGATCAGTGCTGAGGGGGTTTTAAGGTGTCACTTCTCGCTGAATTAAATTTGCAGAACCACTTGCAAACCCTAAAATGTTGTAATTTAGGAAAATCATAAAGGTCAAAGATTGCTCCTAAGCATTGAGGAAGTAATTTTCCATGTGTCCGCATTACTGGTGTGACCTGTTGGCCACTTGCATTTCTGCCCATGCGAAAGTTTTGCTTTTATAATGGTCCTCAGCCTGGTATTGATATAATACATACTCACTGTTTTAACTATCCACTGACATAAATGCTGTTATTTAAGTAAACATGGTCCAAACACTTGCTGTTAGAACAGGATTGAAAGTAAATCTGAACAAGCTTACTTATATTTAAAACAGCACAGAATGAGACACAGTATGGAGGTATCTGTCCTTGAAGCCCCTGCTTATTCTCCCCTAGCTTTTAATTTTGCCAGCTGATTTCTTCAGATCTGGCATAATGACCCAGGTCTCACAATTGTTGAGTTCCTACTGCCTTTGGAGCATCCCAGAGACTGGGTGCAAATAACCTTATCAGTTCCCTGAAATGCAGAGACTGGCAGAAAGGCTTTAGGACATTTGTCTAATTATAGATTTCTTTTTCTGATACATTTCTTCAAGAATAATACTTTCCAGATGTATCAGTTTACAAAGTGAATCCTGATGATATCCTGCTAGATAGAAAACGTGTATTTTAATAGTTACAATGACATAAATATATTTGATCTAGAATTAAGTTTTGTTTTCAGTAGTACGTGGCAGAATTAATTTGTACATATATGATATGCATTTTAACTTAGCTAAGAAAATTGACTATAGATACTAGAAGTACCTTAAAAACCTTTCTTATAAAAAGTGTAGTTTTTGTTATTTGGTGTTGATTAACAGACTGTTGTAGAAGGTTGAGCAAGAGTATGTTATTATGATATAATGGTATTAAAAAACATTGACCTGACTCCTGCATTTGTCATTTTTGTGACCTTTGTATTCCTTCCTTATTAGAACTATGCAGCACTGATACAGCAACAAATTAATGAGGACAAACAAAACTTGACAGAAAAGACTGTATATGGAATCCAGCTCACAGAAGAAAAACTTAATGACTTCCGTGATGAACAAATTGGGCAGCTGAAGGAACTGATGGACGAAACTACCAAACCTCAGAAAAAACTCAGCATTTCTAAAGACTCGGAACACAAAACCTAAAGGGTTTTAAAAGTTGTTTTAATGCATATGGAAGCATTTTGAAACTTCCTTTACAGCTGAACTTGAATGTGGTTTCTTTGGAATAATGGGCACTGCTGCTGCCATGACTTGTCTGAAACAGATGTGTCTGGCTGTTAGGGTTTCTGTGCAAGAATAAATGTTAAAATGGAATGATCACAACAATATTATGTTAATTGCAATTTTTTTTTCTCCTAATGGAAGGTGGAGACTTGAAGATTTCGATAAAAGTAAATTGACATATCTGAAATAGAAAGGTTTGTTTGTTTATTTAGCACCCACAGGGCAAAACATCTTCCGGTTTGCATATTGTCCTCTGCCTTAATGGAAAAGATGCAATTAACATTTGTTTTCTGATATGGACTAAGTAGACACAGAACAAAGATATGGTACTAGAATGGCTTTGTTTTGATGGAAAGGAATGGGCTGTATTAGAAAAACATATAACTGTTGCAATTGAAAGTTGGTTTTCTTCTTGAGCTTTATTGTGAAATGTGCTTTAAAATAAAAGATGTACGTGATTATGAAGTTGAGCTCAAAGGAACCACTGGCTGATGAAGAAGATTCTGCATTTTTCTCATAGCTAAACTTGGATTATTGTTAGTACCATGATAGTTAGAATTCAAAGGCTCTTCAAAAGCTCGGTATCCAATATTATTCGGTATTTTGTATAGACCAGAATTTGTTAAACTCCTCAATCATGGAAATTTTCCTGTTGATAATACTGCATGACAAACACGAGTAATTTATCAGTAGTAAGTTAACTCTTCACCAGGACAGTGCATGCATATTGTAATATACTATATCAGGACTAAAAAACAGTTCAGCTCTTCTATCTGTTAAGAAAAAACCCACCCCTTTCTGTGCAAAAGACAGCTTTCATTTTGTATTCCAAACTGAGCTTTGTATTATTAGTTCTGTTCTATTTATGGACCTTTCCCTGTCTGTTACCCACAGCATCTTCAAGACAACATAATTTCTTTCCTCCTGGGGGATAACAGCTTTGACACGTAAGCATATTTCCAGCTGTCTAACGTAAGAACATGCTGCTTGCCAAAGCTGCGCTCCTGGATCCTAGCAGGGTGCAATTTGGTGAGCAGCCTGCTTCTCTCTTCCTTACCTCTTTTCCCAATTCTTTGCTATGGTTTTAGGTTGTGGCTTGCTCATTCCTATTACAACTGCAAGATTCTTGCGTAAGGAACTTGTAGGATTGCTTTGCTGCATCTTCTTCTGGCAGCTCCAAACTCTTGCTTTTGCTGTAGGAACATCCTTTGTGCTCCAAAGCTTAATCCAGACAGGGTCAAAGGGCAGAGGTGACATCCAGACTGCAGAGCTGAGGGTCATAAGTCTTGGTTCCTAGAGCTTCTAGGGCACGTTTGGAGAGAATAGCAGCTGCCTTCTGGCCTGCTGTGTACTGAGGTTTTGCCCCAGCATCAGAGTGGGAAGTGGATGGGGTGTGCATGTGAGAAGCTTGAAAATTTCTCTGATACTGCCGTTCACACATACCAAAAGCTTTTTGCTTTTTAAAGTTCAAAGTCTGTAAAAATCTAACCCAACTCCAGAGTCTAAGGCATAAGGATGTATTTTGTTGCGCTTCCATCAGGTGTACAGTAACCAGTAATTTGCATCACTGCTCCGTTTTAATACTAAAAGCAATGTTTGTGTGTTGATAACAGATTGACGGTACACATGTGCCTACTTTCCAGTCAATATCCAAGTTGCTTCAAATTTATTTCAGATACTGCGATTTTGAGCAGTTATTTTTATCAACACGTTTAATGAAGCTTTTAGTTCAGTGCAGCTAGCTTGAATACTAGTTCTGCATCTGGCCACTCGTTTATGTACCTAGCTAATGCATGTATCTAGAGACCAAATTAATTCATAATGAAAAATTTCTGCTTGGTTTGAAAAATGTAAGCTTATAATGAGACCTCCAGTGAGTGCAGGTGAAGGTAAGTATCTTTACATCCACAGCCCGTTTTCTAGTAAATCCAACAACTTCTTCCTTTCATTCCCAATGGTAGCTCATTTTTACAATGTTTGTATTCTTTTTAAAACAACTCTTACAAAAGCCAACTTTCCGCAATAGGAATGAAACATCTTTGAAGATTTCTGGCTTTAAGGCAGCCAGTGCTGATAGTAAAGCGTGCTCTGACCTGAGCAGAGCTTATGAGTGGCCCCAGAGAAGGATTGCAACCACCAACACTATGCATTAGTGAAATTCTTTGATTTACAAGTGTGGTTAATGACAGTTGAGGAAGACAATGGGCTTCTCATCCTGTCCACAGAAAGGTAGAATGACAAAGATGCTTTCTCTTTAATTTAGTTTTTCTAAGGTATAAAATACTTTTTGTGGGGAACTTCACACAGGGTTTAGTGGATAATGACCACAGGAAAGCATCCATCAAAATTACTTCAAAACTACAAGCAGTGTGCTATTTCAAATGGCAAAAGAATTACTTAGAAAAAAGATAGTCATCACCCTATAATGAAAAATAGCTAGGATTCCTTTAGAAATGAGTACAAAGTTTTAGGCTGTGTGTGTTGGAATGGATTGCTGTTGTACGACTGAACACTGAAGAGCTCCTGCCACTCTTAAAGGTCCTCTCACCATTTAGTTTATTCATTAAGAAAAGATCCTTTGTGTTTGTTGATCTTAAATCCATTTGGCTCTGCTAGAACTAAGAGAGTGATAAAATTCACTGGTTAATTTGGCTAAACCTTATCTGTAGTAATATTTCGTGTGATTGCCTGACGGCTGGTTGTTTCCCTTTTTGGGTGCTGTAGAGAGGCAGTAAGGAGCTGTGGCCCAATTGAGATGATCACTGTCCATGTTTCCTATTCACAGAGGGATTCCCTCCTAGTACATCCCCCATACTACTCGAGTACAGGTTAACAACTCTATGTTGTCATCAGTGAAGTCAACACTGGAGAGGGACTCTTTATTAGGGACTGTAGGGATAGGACAAGGGGTAATGGGTTTAAATTTAGGCGGGGGAAGTTCTTCACTGTGAGGGTGGTTGGGCACTGGAACGGGTTGTCCAAAGAAGTGGTAAATGCTCCATCCCTGGCAGTGTTCAGGGCCAGGTTGGACAGACTCTTGGGTGACACGGTCTAGTGTAAGGTAGCCCTGCCCATGGCAGGGGCTGGAACTTGATGGTCTTAAGGCTTTTTCCAACCCAAACTATTCTGTGATTCTATGACTCTGAGTCACCTTTGATAATGATCCAGTCTGGTAAAAGAACCTTTCAGAGCTGAAGAGAATATAATCAAATACTCAGAATTCATTTGAGAATGTATATTTCAATCAATTTTGTAATGTGAATACATGCTACTGGGTGGTGGGAAGATCGAGGTAAGGTAAATATGCTGTTTCTCATCTGCCCTTCTCAAGCCCCTGTCACACATCCTGGTGCCTAGGAAAGCTTTTCAGGTCTCACTTGGCCTGTGCTACTCACACCAGTAGCCTGCTTTTAAAACTCCACAGTAAGCAAGTAAGTTAGGAAATGGTTTAACCTCTCGCCACTCACCCAAGCTTCAGTTGAGACTATAGGATTGGAATTGTAAAGCTGAGGAAGGAAAACACTTTTCATTGCTGCTATGGAGACTGGAGTTTATGTTGCAATGACTTGTTCTGTTTCCTACCTCCTTGTTAAAAGAAGAGTCCAAAGAAACCTGGCCAAAACAACCCAGGAACACACAAAAAAATTACTGACAAAACCTCTGGTACCTGAGATTGCAATGTGAGTGGCCTCTCTGCAGTATCAAAATGAAAAAGAAAGATAACTGGAACAGGGGGAAAGAAAAAAGTCTTTGTGTCAAGGCAGTCTGTTTTTTGCAGAGAAGGAACTAGGGCCATAGTGGATGCACTTTGGTGGATCCAGTGCTCCTATACAGAGCACTGCTCCAGCCCCTCAGCTCATATGCTCTGGTCAGGATCAGATGTTCAGAGAGCAGCATAACATGTTGCAACAGAAATCCCACATCTTATGTCTTTGAACAACTGAGATATGGATTCTGGGATTTTACCTTCTAAGTGGCTGTGGATGAGGTCTTCCCTTGCTAGTCCACTACCTGTGGCAATATCTGCTGCAGGAAGTTCATGGCGGTGTAGTAAGCGCTAACACATACCTGTTTCTTGTGATCAGTGTGGAGTCTGTACTCCGTTTCAGATTAAAGCATGAAATGTGTCTGATCACGTTGCTACATATATTGCAGTATTTGCTTAGGCATAGTTTTGAAAGCAGCTCTGAAACTACAAAAAATGACCCATCTTAAGCATAATAGATTGCCCTTCAAAAAGAATACTATATCCATACCAAAATGTGTGACTGCCATACTAAAGCTATTTTGATGTCACAGGATTTAAACCCTGAATGGAAGCAGAAAGCTTCTCTAACACAGTGGTCAACAGGTTTCAGAGCATCATGGAGAAATAACCCTTTTGGTTTATGAGCACTGAAGTCCTGTGCTGAAGGAGCAAAGGCAGTGGCCATGTGGCCCCATCCCTAACGTTTCAGATTCATCAGCAGCCTCTTCTGGTTGTCACAATTCAGGACATAGCTGAATGCCTGTGCTTTCCCACAGTGATGTGTGTGCTAGTCCAGAAACAACAGCCCACCAAGTGGCGATGTGCCAGGATAAGTAAATCAGGTGGAACTATCCATTTTATCTTCTTTTTCTTTGTTCACATTAGGTCTGCAAAGCCACAGCTGGCTCCCAAAGCAAGAGGCACCCTCCTGGCTGTTTGTAAACATCTACTATAGCCTTCATGCAGTAAGAGCAGCCAGGCTGAGGGTGTATGGACTTTTGTGCTGACTGGCAGTGGTTTAAAGACTGGTTAATGCCTTTCAGAATCAAAGCAAACAGAAGTGAGATGCCAGGGGACATGTTATAGGAATTTACTAGTTTGATCCCTAATCCTGAACTGTGGTAGGGATTTTTACTAGATACCACAGGAGAAGCTCACTAAAAGCTGTACCAACAAAGCAAGCAAAGAATATCAACCTCGAATGCCAAGGGGGTGCTTGGAGTTAGAAGCAATCCTGTAAAAGCTATTATAGATGTTGTTGGCATCCTATGATATGAGTAGTTATTTTGAAACCAATATTCAGCAAGTTTATTGGCCAAAATATAATTCCTCTCATCTCAAAATCCATGTAAAAATCAATCTCAAAGGAAGAGAGAGTAAAGCAGCTCCTGAGAAAACATCTACAGAAGTGGAAGGGGGATCTGAGAGACATGCAGGGGGTCCTTCAAACCCCAGAGTGTCTTCAAATGCCAAGTGCAAGAAATGGGTATTACCTTGAAGGGAGTTGTTCTTGCCTGTCGCTGAGGCATGGTGTTTCTCCTCTGTAGTGTGATCCAGGCAGAGCCGGTCACACACAGGCTGGAGCTGCTGTCTCTTGGGCAACAAATCTTTGTAGCTCACAGGTGACCAGCGAGTCAAAGGGGCTTCTGAGGGTGAATCCCAGACTTTGCAGGACAAAGCCTGCTTTGCTAACTTTCCTTGAATTGTGATAGCTAAGCTGTGGCATGCATTTC